AGCTCAGTTATAGTCACTGTGTGACTGGCACAGATTGGGCACGCAGCGGTGGCCCGCATGACTCCCCTGTTCTAGCCTACACCATGGCACAGAGCGGCCCTGTACCAGCGCACCGGCGCACCCAAACGCCTTCAGCCGCGCGCACACACACACACACACACACACACACACACACACACACACACACACACACACACACACACACACACACACACACACACACACACACACACACACACACTGTTCTCGGCTCTCTCTGATTCGCACAAGACGCCGGCCGCGGCCATCTGATAAGTGTGCAGAGGCCGGAGCGCGCGGCTTTTTAAACCAAGCAGGACAAACTGAGAGTGTTACTCGAGCTCTCCTGGCTAATACTCCCCGGCAGTGTGACGTTCTGTGCGTGTACACACAGTTCATTTGTTTCCGGGAGAGAAAAAGGTTTGACTCTTGACATCTGATGAATAAAGCAGCGGATTGAAAGTCTGTCCATTTTCAATGGGAAAGAAAAGTGCTTGGTAGTCAATCTCAGCGTAGATTGTCTGTAAAAAAAAAAGGCCAATCATTTGAGTGTACTTCTGATGGTGTCCATTCTCAAACGAATACTCAGGCTTCATGGATAAATATGCTTTTTGAGGCAAACCTTAGACAGTGTAATAACACCCATTTGGCAAACACACACTCTGGTTTGAGTGGAGTACCTCAGTGCACGTCAGGTCGGGCTTCTATAGGATTGTGTTTACGCAAGATCAACGTCCTGATTAAGTGCAATAAAGGTCTAACCCTGCAGTTTTCATAAGGCTTTATGTAATTATTCATCTTCTCAGGTGCATGAAATTCAAAACCAGGATTTCATGTTGGCTGCTGTAGAAAGCCACGTCTGAAACCTGAAAATATTGTGCAAAAACAAAAAAAACAGTTAGACCTGAGAAACGCACCGATATTCTCTAGAACGCGTGAGTGAGAGTTTGTCAATCTGCTAATCTTGGCCAACATAAGAAGTGCCCTGTCTCATAAATCCCCACAAACCGGGCAGCGAAGACGCCTGTGGTCAAGGATGGAAAACACAGGACATAGCGGTCGCACTAACTAGCATCATCTCATCAATGTCTGACCAATAAAAGTATCTTGAGCCGCAATTAGTTTTGCAAATTACCCGTGTCTCCAGCTCCATCTGCAAAGGTCATCACGCGTTACCAACAAGAGTTTCCCCTCAATGGGAGTTTCCTTATTCTCATATCTTCTGACCACCCGCCAATAAAGTCCACAGCCGACCGGTGGGACGGTCCTTGTGAAATCTCTGATTCTTAGCATGTTAGCGGGCCAAACATATCAAAAAAGCCATGCCAAACCATTTCATCTTCAATCATACTAATATGATTGGCCAGTATGAGTCCCAGGACAAGCCATTCGATGAAATGTTTGTACCGCTTTGCAATTCTTGAACCTGGTAAACAAGCAGTAACTCTGTGTTACTTAGTTTAGAGGAGCCATGATATTCTGTGCAGAGGGGGGGGATTCTTTTTTCCGGACACAGACACTGCTTTTGCATAAGATTCTTCCACATTTCATTTCCCACTCTCCTCCTGTTACTCAGAAGGGTTATAAATTGCTGATTGAGGACCATCCTGCAACCATCAGACGGCGCTGCACCACCCTGTGGCATCCGCAGGCGTAGCATGCCTCTCCTAAGGGATGTTGTAGAGCAGAGCCCCCCCCCCCACTCAAAGCAAAACATGGCTTAGCTCGAATCCTCATGCACCGAACTGAAACATAAAGAAAACAAACTTCCCTCTCTTTTCTCCTGAGGCCGTGCCGTCCGTTATCTAAGCCTCCAGGTTTGCGTGACCTCACCGACGCTACGCGCTCACAGCGCCGATGCTGAGAGAATCCTATCTTCTCGGCTCACAGTAAAGTGATACCCTTTTGAGGTGTGGCTGTGGCCACAGGATATCCTATGGAGTGGGGAAATCCCTCCGCCGACGGGGCTCCCCGCCCTGCTGCACGTCAGGGTCTAATCGGTCCTAAAGGCCTGGTAACGAGACGCCCGCCACCGCTGTCTGCCGGGCCATCGCCAGCCCGAGCCCACGCTTGCAGCTCCTAATGAGCAGTAATCACCCGGCATGCTCCCCACAAGCCGCTGCAGGGATGCCGGGCACGCACATGGGGGAACCGAAAGGGAAACGTTTACATGGAATCGTAGCATGTCTGTGCAAAATGAAATGCAGCTCCTAGTTTGGCACAGTGATAAAAAAAAAAACCTTCCTTCTCAATAAATGAACACGCATCACATTTTTTTTATCCTGTTGTTTTTGGCGTCATTGGACCTCCATCGGCACCGGGATCCAACTGGTGACAGATTCCGTGAGGGTGATTAAAAAAGGAGGAAACAGCATCCGCTATATTTGCTTCTTCGGGATGCTGCGGTGCCTGTGGCATCGGTAAATCCCAGCAGCGTTACTCACATGGACCAAATAAAAACAACTTTTGTGGCTGAGGGTTAGTTTACCGAAACTCAAACCCGGAACCGACAATCCTCTCAGGGAGTCCTCTGAACACGTCCCTCCTCTTGGCAGTTCAATCGCATCAAGGTGCTGTGACCTATTAGGTCAAGTAACGAAAAAGCTCAGCAAACGCCGCCCGCATCAAATTCTCAATGATAACGGATTTAGCAGAACCAGCACCTGCCGCAACAGGCCGGGGGAGAGAGAAGAGGCGGGGGGTGGGGGGGGGGGGCAGAATGAGCGCGCTCGCATTCTTGTGGGCGAAGGATGACAATTTAAGCGGGCTCTCGACCACGCCAGGAATCCCACCCCGCCCTCGGCCGCGCAGACTACGGGCAGGAGAGATTGTGTTTATGTTACACTTACGCTCCACCGCACTCTGGAAATTGGGTATGCAACATTGACCCTCTATTTTGAGCGAATCAGTGCCGAAGAGGCCCCGGGATGCCTCGCGCTCGTGGCCTGTTTATTTGAACGGGGTCTCGTGTGCGAGTCGGAAGGTGAAAGCGGGCCCCGTGTCGCCGGTGTCGTGTTTCTGGGGAAGTTGAGCCGCGGCGGGGGGGGGGTCACATTTTGTATCAGTGTCACCTGTGCGCAGGCTCTCTCACTGTGCTCCGTGTGGCTCAATCATTGACTGTCACTCATTCACATCCCCTCCCCGACCCAGCCGCGGAATAATAAAATGTGGAGTGTATCGCAATAGCACATGTTCCGCTGCACCGCGCGGACCACAGAGAGAGAGCGAGAGAGAGAGAGCGGGCTGACAGAAGGAATTGGAAAACAAGTGCTAACTGAATGAGTAGATGTGCGTTACCATGAGGACCATGGAGGCGGATGTACCTGCCCGCTGCAGGGAGGGACACAGAAACAGAGAGCAGGTTTACACGTGTCCTTCCGGTGCAACTTTGGAATATCGTACTTCGTGTGAGCGTGTGCATTACGGGGGATGACGTTGCGCCGCGCAGGGCTGAGATATTCCCATCATGCCGAGCGGTTACAGGTGGTGCGCGTTGACATCACTCAGGTGACGGCCCTTTTGTTGTCTCCTTTTAAAAGCTGGATTTTTTATCCCCCCGGGCGGTCTAAGGAGAAGGTAAATCCCATTTTGGGGACAACAGGTGGACGCAATTCACACGAGTTCTGGAGGACATTTCCTTTCCTTTCTGCCAGTTTTCAGATGGACTACCACTTGCGGGATCCTGCACAACAACCCATACCTGCCATAAATTTAATTTTGCGGGAAAGGTTTCAAGTGTCATCATTCCACCGCAATTTGTTTCTGTGAAAAGTCTCAACCCTGGGGGGGGGGGGGGGGGGGGTACTAACAGCACCCATCAACACTGATATTTGTAGGTACAGAAAACCCCTCCAAGATCGTGCGACGTTAGAGGATGACATGCCACCTTGGTACAGATTCCAAATCAATCAGTTGTCACTTGGGGGCGTTTTAGTTTCAGGTGAAACGTGGCCACCCTTCCACCTGACACGCTGACCTCATTTGAACGACCTTGGCTTACCTGCAGGGCGAATGTTCCTCTGTAACTGAGACAGAAGAAGAAAAGAAAAAAAACAACTAAGAGTGCAGTTCATGCCAGTATGCAAACAGGAGTTCAGTGCATTAGTAGGGCCTCTAAAAGGTGGAGGGCTACACCTACAATCCAAGGCGTTCCCTGGGAATGAAATATACACCCCTGTACTCTTTATAAATTAAACATTATTGTGTATATGACATGAATCATACATTTTTCTGATGCATTTCCAAGTCTTGCGAGTTTAGACGCAGCTGAAAATCTCAGCTGAAAAAAAAAGAAGAGTTTCTTTCTTTTTTTTTCTGACTTGTGTGATGTTTATGCTGGATGGGGGAATTTTCTGTGCAAGCTGAGCAGACGTTTCGGCCACCAGATTGCTTTATTGTTACCAGCTGTGGAGTCTGGGGCACATATACACTCACCTTTCGCTCCGCGGCCGCTTTCGGAGTCGACTAAGGATATGATTTTACAAGTGTTTCAGCGAAAATAATCACTCAACCGCTACTTGCCATTCAAACGAGGGTTACTTTACGCAGGGCGCTGGCTCAATTGTCAGGGAACGAATTGGGGGGGGGGGTGGAGAAGTCTCCTCGTACAGCATTACTGCGAGGACCCACTGGATGCTGTCTCCGTGGGTCAAGGCACTCGCTGACCGTGCTAAACAGTCAGCAGCTCCGCTGAGGTCAAATCATGTGCGCGCAACCTGCCGCAGACACCAGCTGCGAGGCCCGCTGCGCGCCGCGCACCCGCCGCCAAATGACACCTCACTGACCCGCAGGAGTCCATGCGACCAAAACCGCTCGCGCAACGACTCCCGAGGGGTGTGATCCGGTTATGTGAATAAGCTGTTTCAAAAGGACGGTCTTCGGTGAGTTTGCAGGAGGAACAAAAAGTTGTTACCTGCTTTTTGTGCCTCGGGAACCAATCAAATCAATGAAAGGGCACGCGTCGCGGACGCGTCTGTCCTTACCCGAAATAGGCTGCGGTCGGTCCGGGCAAGTTGAGAAGATACACTATGACTGTGAACGATAACCATCCCAGGAGTAGGTGTCCATCCAGCATTTTGCTGCGGCTCCAGGGCAGATCATTTCGTTTCTCCTGAGTAGCTGTGTAAAATCCCTTGTTGAAAGTTCAACTCTTCTTATACAGAGAGGAGCTGCGCTGCGCTCCTCCCATCAGCAGAGAGAGAGAGAGAGAGAGAGAGGGAGAGAGAGGGGAGGGGGGGGGGGAATAATATGGCAATGCATGCAGAGGGCTGAGTTGATTTTCTCCCTCAGGTTTGAGACGGATACATCTCCTCCGTTGTCTACATTTCCACGGTTGGAATGCGTTTGAAGCGCCATGCCGTCAGTGTTTGTGCAGACTGAGGTCAGTCTGAGCTGGCCTGCAGAGGATCAAATACTTGTTTACCATCAGTCACTGGCCGTTTGTTTCCAGTGTGGCAAAAACCCTGAAATTGTGAGATCCAGCCCCGAGTCCCCTGTACTGAACAGCGAAGTCCATTTTTGTCTAGAGAAAAAAGTAATTGTCATCCATCCTTTTTGAAATGGTCCAGTCGTGCAGCGGTTTTACTCCACTAAAGTGATTAAGAAGCCTCTTTGCTCGGGGAGTTTTGGCACGGGCTGTATGTCAAATCAGCCTCGCCATTATTGGCTGAAGAAGATCCTGTGATACCATTTGAAAGCTACGGAGAGCGTACTCAAGCAACTTCTAACGCAAAGCGACAATGTCAAAGTTGTTTTGCCAGATGTTTCCATCATCAATCAATCATTTATAGGGCTTCGGACTGAACTATTTGCACGTTATGCTTTACAGTAGTAAATACTGTAAGCTACTGTTTTACTCCAGCAGACGTTACTCTACGGGTACAGAAAACCTATGATGATGCATTCTTTATAAATTAAACTGTGTATCAACGGGTTTATATTGGCTGCACATGCTCCATATATTGCTACTTTGATTTCACTGCACCGCACACTACAGAATAGGTTGCCTGTTTACTAGATAGTGGTTAAAGATTGTCTGTTGAAGTTAAATATCAGTCTGTTCCCGCCTCAACAAGGCACAGCGGTTACTTCTCCTTAACCAGAAATTCACCAGGCAGTTCAGTGCAGAAAGCAAATTAATCCGCAAATGTAACTGTCGGCGATTTCACAAGAGCTAAGGACGAAACCTTTAATCGCATTGAAAAATATCCTATTGAGCACCATAAATCAATTGGCAAACCATCAGTCATTCTCAAAAGTAATCTGGTCGCTTTGGCAGGCCTGCTCTCGAAAAATATTTACTCTTCCTACGCACTCGATTGCATAAGATTTGGTGATTACCAAAATGGTCAGTCATTGTCACTGAAAACGCTTATTTAATATGCAAACTCACTTGTGTTAAAGCGTTTCCCAACTGTAACACACACGAGCAGTAAAAATAGCAAAGCTCCCGCCACGGTATTCTTTCTAAAACCCAGGTCAATGTGTCATTTCTTGAAACACAGACTGTTAAACTACAGTAATTCCAAGGAACATTTCAGCGAACATGACAGGTTTACTCCCAGGCATGACAGCCATAATAGCATTACAGATTTGTTGGCGGTTGACCCCTTGATTTGTAAATAATATCCCCAGACTGCCAGCTGAGAGTTTTCTTACATCAGGGACCTCCCTGGTTAACTTCTGCATAAACCACCTGACTTCTGCTGAGTCCCTACACACACCTTGGATACCTGGCACGGGGGAGACAAGTATCTGTACTTGGGAATGGTGCCGGTTTTCTCAGGTACACCTGGGAGGCGCTCCTGCCAAGGATTCGGGATGAAACCTAATCTCAAAACGATATCCGGGCCTGTTCACCGAGGATCACAAAGAGCAACAGATGGGACCAAGTGGCTTCACGGCGCCTTGTTTCTACTCGCTGTGCGTAAACAAAGCAGTCCTTCCAATCAGAGATTCAAGTGAGCTGAGTTAATAATTCGTGCTTGCATGTTTCACATGATGTTAGATGTCTTATGATTATCAAAACCAGGGTGCGAAACTTCTCAGCCCACGTCAAAGTGCACTTGAGCCAGATGTTTAGTATTCCTTTGGTTGTTGAATAATATGAATGAATTCATTGATGCCTGAATTAAGTTAATTGAAGAGAATATTCATTAAAATGTCAGCAGCAAAAAGTTATGCTTAGTTAAAGTTATTTGCTAAAATCCTGCCTAATCTTTTACACAAATGATGATGAGACACTTGTACGATTAGTTAAATCAGTTGAAAGTTCCATGAGTTTGTTGTTTGCATGATTTCACTTTCAGCTCATGCTCGATATCATTTGCACAATTCACACAGGTGAGCACATGAAAGTGCAGGAATGTGCTCTTTTTCAACATTATAAGCCTGTCAGCCTTTCCTGAAGGGCAGTTATTCAAAAGCCTGAAGGCCCCCAGTGAGGGCCGTGCTGCTTGATAACACCTGGTTTTAAGGAGATCAGCAGGAGGGTTTGTCAGTACATGAACGGACACTAATCCCGAGCAATACCCACTGGTCCTGCATGTCTCTTGAGTGGGATAATTGATTCCCACACCCTTCTTAAACCCCCCCCCCCCCAACCCCCCCTCTCTCCTCAGACCCGGCAACCGAGATTACAAAGCCGGTTTCATTCTGGTGTGGAGGGAACATGGCCAAGAGGACAAAAGCCTGCGTTACTTTTGTTGTTTTAAGCAGGGCTCCTGTGAGGGTTGAACCTCGGTTCTGTCATAAGTGTTTTGGGTGGTAGCAGAAATGTGTTTGGTAACGGACACTAATCCCGTCTCTGCCTCTGGAGAAACTACCTCACAGAAGCCGCGATGATGCATTTCGGATATGAACATTATGGTTGCATGTGAACATGTTGTCATGGATACGTGATGGGAATGTCCCGTCACGTATCCATGACAACATTTTCTCTCACCGTAAAAAAAAAAGAAGTCAACTTTGTTTCAAATCCAGGTTCAACTAGAGAATGTAATTCATCCTCTGGTGTTAGTGGAGGTTCTTCTGGGCATTGAGGTTAGTGTGTCGGTTCAAATGAGATGGAATGTGTTATGGGATGTTGAGGTATTTCCTTTAAGGGAACTCCTGCAAAAGATCTCCTGAAATCCATTAAATGTATTTCAATGTATAGAATTTTAAAAAGTCCAAACTGTGTGTGAGGCGTTGGCCGAACGTCCGTATTTATCAGTCAAATAAAGAGATCCAGAAAGATGTAGATAGTTAATATAATGGGAGACGGATTGGATCTCGAAATTATACATAAACATAAAATATGGTATTATATTCAACATAAAAAAGTCATTTTGAGTTAAAAGCAAAGGTTGGATTCCTTCTCCCTGTCCTCAGAGTCTTATGTATTAGCCTTGGTCTGACCTTGTCTTGATATCACATCCCTGGAGAGGAATGTAAATCGTATCCGTCCAATCCCAACCCAGTTACCGCCAAACTCCTCGTTCTCACCACCCCTACTCCGCTGCAGGGCCACATGATCTCCTCCGTGTACCAGACATAATTTGTGGCTTAGGTTTGGAGGCTGACGGTGCGTCTGCGCCACTCTGCTGTTTCAGGCGTCGGGTGCACCGTGTGCAGAAGTTCTCAGGGTTCTGAAAAAGTCCGTCCTCGAGGGCCGCAGAGGTGTAGCCGTTGTTTTTTTTTAATCCCGAGTTAAAAGTGCCGTCGACCTCCTGTGCGGGCATGATTGCATTCCTGAGAGAAAACAAATAGCTAATGAACAGATTATGAATTAGGTTAAAGGACGAGCAATTCCCAACAATAATTAACTGAATTCTGAAAAGATTCCTTTTTTTTAAAAGGGGGCCCTCGGCGCCAGAGCACCACAGAATTACCGCCAGTGCGTAAACCAAGACAGTAGCTGCAGTTTAAAGCAGCAGCTCGCTATCAAAAAGCTCCACGGTGGAACTTAATCCCGGGGCTTCATTTGTGGCGTGTTACCTGTGGTCCACGCACATTTTCTAGTGAAGTGTTATGACACACTCGAGCCAAATTGTACGTGAGCGTGTGGCGGCTTGTCCGTTCTCCAAAGTGCTTAAGTAGGCACATGGAAGCTGTTGCTGCTGCTGTGTAACTGCGGGAGGAAACATGGTCCTTTTCATCATCCCCCTAACATTCTTATCACATTAATATCAAACCGCGGTTTTTCATTGCCAAAGCTGCATGATGCCATCGGCTCCTTGGTTTCCCCGGCAACCCAGTTCAACGCGCCGCTTTTTACGGTGTTTGTCGTAACGGCAACTTTCTATTCGCCGGCACAAACCGAGCCGTTCATCCACAGTGACACAGCACCGTCTCAACGGCGAGAGTAGTGACGTGTGGACGAGGCCCCCGGGCCAGGAAAGTACAGGTTCCTGTACGAGGAAAAGGCGATACGGTAGACGTACGGTGAATTGGGTGGTGCTCTCCGCCCCGCAGGTGGTGTTGATGGAATGGCATGATCTGCTTTGCTTAGCGTTAATGAAACAAGACAGAGTCGGGCTGAGCAGCTGCAGCCTGACGCGGCCTCTCTCTCTCTCTCTCTCTCAGCTGATTGCGACCTCGGGTGACCCGAAGGAAAGTCTCGTTGTGTGGGAAAGACCTGGAGGAGACCAAGAGACTAAAGGGAGGTGGAGATATGGAGCCTCAGCAGTTGAGGGTAAACGCTGCGCCCTGATATGACACACTGGGCTGTTCCTGTAAATAAAGCTGCGTTGCCTCTTCATGTTTCCCGGCCTCTGGAGTTTCATGACGCCTGTTTTAATGCGTGACCTCAGCGCTAACGCGGCTGTCCGAGTCCCCCCGAGGAGAGACCAGACCGAATGAATTTACGCCTGACGGTGCACCTACTCGCTTCTCATCCTCAGATATTAGTTGTGACTCCATCACGTTAATGTAATAAAACGAAACCGGCATCTGTTTCGTTGCAGTCGACCCTTTTGAGTTTAACTGGATGTTCAAGTCCATTATCGAACCCGTCTCAGCCGGGTGGAGATCTGATGTTTTCATACTCATAAAACCACTCATTTAATGTGCCAATAATCTGTAGCTAACTAAAGCAACAAATGGGACCTCAGAGGCAACAGACACGGTTCACATTACGATTTGAACGTTGCGTCCCATGGTTTGTCTTATCGGAGGCCTTTTTACACCCTGTACACACTCAGACGAGATACGGCCGTCAACGCCTGAGCTAATGCGCATCCTGAAGATAAAGTCAAAGGACAGACGGACCCTTTGCTTTGTTTGCAGAGCGACCCAGAAGTACCAGTGAGGAGTTATTTCCAGGTGTGAGCTTGAGGGGTGTGTTACAGCTTCAGGAGGTGCAACGCAGCAAAACGTCACCGAGCACAACAGAGTAAATGAGATTGAAAGTATAATGTGAGAGATTTCCATTTCCTTGTATGTCTAAAATATTTTGGCGATCAATGTTCCTGATTCTATTTTTTTGTGACTTCTTCTAAGTAAACAGAATTAAAAACTGAAAACTTTTATTCACAAGCTCCCTTCTCTATCTTATCAGAACAACAGAAGTCGGCCTCAATGTGGGGCTGAAGCAGGTAGAAAAACGGTTTTCAAATACATCTTTTGCAATTGTTTCAATATTGAATACGCATTTTTAATTGTTTGTGAATAGAACGTATTCATTTGGGTCTTATATCATTTTTACTGTTTTCACCTCTTGTTCTTATGCATTTTCCTGATAGTTTGAATTGCCTCATCATTTGAAGGTGCTTTCCTTGCCATTGAGTATCTTTCTGTTTATAATTCAACAGTAACAAAGTTAATCGTCATTCCATGACAATGCTGACATCTAGTGGTGCTGTCACTTTTGCACACGACAGAAATCTTAATTTGACACGTGCAAAAGCTGCAATTCAAATCAAATTCCTCTCCATATTAAATACACACCCACAAGCATCGGTAGCATCACAGAAAATATTCATGGGAAAGTCTGAAGTAATGAAACTGTGATAAGTTCAATATTTGTGTATTGCGTGATGTTGGTGTAGCTGTTTTCTGTCAAACGGCCGGAGTCTGACTGAGGCCTGTGATGCAGAGCGATGACAAAACTCGCCCGTCGGACATTACTCGCTGCTGACGGCCCCCTGCTAAATGACCTCATCGGGGCGGTGAGGTCACCTCTGGGCGCACAGAGGTGCCGTGATGTGCTTCTGTCTACTCGGGGGAAAATCTGGATGGGTGGACAGCGTGGTGGGAAACGTGTTGATGGAGATCAAATGAACATGAACCAGTCTAAAGCCTGGCGGCTTTACCACCTCGTAAAAACCCTCATTTGATTGATTTCTTTTAATGGTATGTAGAAGTTGAACATGTTTCACATACATTTTAGCACATATTTAATCTCCGGTTGCACTCAATGGTCTAGAGTCAGTAGGCATATGAACAGGCATCACATTTTTGACATGCATTTAACACCCTCGAAGTCTTGGCCTCTGTGCAAGTGCTGACAGCTACTGGGGAGAAAAAAAGACCCGGTTCGTAGCTGCTCTTTAACCTCCATATTTCCCTTTTCTGCAGCTGCGAAAACCCTCCGACCCCGCTGTGTCCCTCAGTTGTTCTCTCTGAGTTTAGTCATTTAGTGACAATGTCTGAAATAATGATAACAAAATATAATAATTAATGAGAAGCATTCATGGCAACATCCAACAACACGTGTTCATCAGTAGCACTCATTGTGCACATCTGGCCCTATAATGGGGCTGCTGTTTTTGAAACCAAGCAGCACATTAATGCTGTAGCTAATCTGGGAGGCTTTTGATACTATATGTCTTGCTTTTCTATGTAAAATCTGCAAACGAACTACTAACAAATGTATGTCAAATGTATGTTCTCTTGCAAAACTTACAACATTTCCCTGTGAAATGCGGTGAAGTTGAAGCTAACGCAGCAGAAAACGGGCATACTCAACACAACCAGTACTTTGAAATTGAAACACATTAATGATTTATATATAATATATAATAATATAATGATAATATACTTATAGTTGCCACCACTGAATATGAAAATCAGGACATTTGGTGGCATGCTTTGTCAAGGTTGCAATGGGCAATAATCTCCACTGGATGGCACTAACATCTTTAGCCATTTTATGTTCCTCCTCCAAGGAAAAAAAGTTAAGTATGTGAACACTTTTGAGAAATTACAGAAAAAAATATTTTTTTTTACCTTTGTCACCGTTGCAGAACCATCTCGATGATCATCTTTGAATTTGTTCTAACTGGTGAATTAAATGCAAAAAGTTGAACCAGAAAAAGTTAAATATTTCAATTATAGCTATTTCAATCAAAAGGGTTCCTGTTTTCATTTTATTCTCTGTAAATTCATTAATATTCTTTTCAGTCCTTTTGTGCACTTTAGTCTTGAAAAAAAAAGTGAGAATTAAAGCTATTATCATTATTTGTATAATTATTATTGTGTACAAGACAAAAAACACCCAGTAAATTAAAAAATATATAGAAAATAACTGTTAAAAGGTTCCGTTTTACGCAAAATGGTCACAACTTACTGAGTTGAGTTACTAGAAATTGGCTTTTTGTTCAGCTCATTGGTCACAAATGTTACACGACGGTGTATTTAATCTTCAAGTCAGCACGAGTGCCTTTAAAAGAACACACCTCCTCTCCGAGCATCTATCAGACAAAAGGGAACCAGACACTCTGCTGCCTATTAAACTCAGTGCTGCATTACAGTTTATCCACTACGTTCGTTATAATAGGCCTGAACTGTCTGGCAACTCATCGTGAAGGCATCTCTAAAGAACATCACACTTCCGCAGATACCACGTGAGGGGGGGAACTGTCCTTAATTATTGCCCCCAATGTGCCCTTTCTGCCCTCACCTCGGGATGCGTCTAATTTGAACGATGACAGGATTATTAACATCAGTGATTATTTGCCATTTTGCAATCTCGGTAGATTGTTTATTGCTGTGGTGACGGCAAACCAAATGTTTTACATTGTGTTACATACATTAAAGAATAAATAAATATGGCCACATTTTTGAGGACACTTTTCTTTAGAGCGGCTCAACAATTTAGTCTGGTTTAAATTTTCAGTTCTTCTCAACTTGTCGTTCATTCATTCATTGAAAAACAGGCACGACTAAAGGGCTGGAGAGCCCTAATAACGGTCTAAAGCAATTCACACATATTTATTTCTGCATTTTAGAAGCTTCAAGCCAGGGAGTGAAATCCGGACAGGTTGTTATAGCTACGCGATCCACAGGGGTCCCGATGTCTATTTAAAAGCCCCCCCAGACCCTCCCTCTCTCCTTTAAACAACATTATATATCACACACGCTGCATGCTAATGCCACCGATTCCCAATGAGCGCTAAAACACGTCTTAAAATCAGCTCGTTGCGTTGTCTTGAGTTGGAGCTGCTTGAGGAGGCGACGGAGGGAACATATCATCACAATTCCCCCTTTGGCGATACCTGCTGATTGGGTCCTAAAAAAAAAAAAAGAAAAAAAAAAAAGCAAGCAGGCTTTTAACTTTTAATATTTGGCTCCCGAGTTCTGCCACGAGTAGTCGCGAAAGATCGATTATCCCTCAGTGTTTTTTTTTTTTCCGGGGGAATAAGAATTAAAAAAATCCATTAGAGCGGAATCGTTTTTTTTTTCCTTATTTCCCCCCTAATTTCGCGTTCCAATCTCCGTGCGCACATGAGCGCGCATGGAGGCTTTCTCCTGGAGACGGTTTAGCCAAACTTTAAGGATGATACGCCTCGGATGTTTCCTGCTGCTCTTCGGGCTCACGCATGTCATGGCGAGTTATCCCATCTGGTGGTAAGTTTGATTTCCATTACGTCCACGAACGAGTGGTGGTGTTGTTGTTGTTGTTGTTGTTGTTGTTGTTGTTGTGTGTCCACGGAGCCGTTGTGCGTCCGTTTGTGAGTGGTTGTATACTTCTTCGTTTCGTTTCTGACAGCAGCGGGACATTTAGCTGCACGGAGGGCGAAGTAGTTCACAGACGTTTGACGCGAGTATTGGTTGAGGTGGAAGGATGAGGAGTAATTCTGAGGTTAGAAAGTGACGCTTTTAATTCTGAAATTTCAAACGTTCAGCTGTGCAGGAAACAAAAAAGCAAAAACAAAAAAAATCTATCCAAATTGTACGTTTATTTTTTAATGCTCTGGACAGCGACATTTGCAGGTCCAACGATGCAAACTGACCTGGAGTATTTTGTTTCTATATTCCGCCTGCAGCAGGTGCAACGTTTGCGTGCGCGTGTGCAGTAGTGTGTGTATGAGGTCTAAGAATAAATGAATAAATAGGAAATATGCTCAGAGATTTACCGTGAAGACTGATGTCAAATTCTGTATATAGACGGTCTAATCTTTATGTAATCGGTGTTATCTTTCCCAATAATGGGGAGCACATCGTAACATTTGAAGTAGAATCAACTATATTGTATTATCAGTTGTGGGAAACTTGAACACAACATTAGCTGAATAATCTTTCCTTAGTTCAAAGTGTGATAATGCAGAATGTGTTGTATATCTCAGATTTCTAACATTCTTTTTATAAACAAAACGGATGCACAGAGTCCCTATAATGAGATTGTTTAGTAATGCTTCTTTATTCCAGATTTTTAAGGATCGGACAAATGTCTCTAACTAGCATTATTCTTTTAACATTACTTTCTTTGCGCAAATGTCCTCAATACTTCTTGTACAAGTCTTGTAGTTGCACACTTTTCATGCTTTTTCCACCAGCTAACGGCACCAAACTAACTGTTAAATACCTTTTTTATTAAAATAAAATAAATGAAAGGTTCCATCTTTGGTTTTGCTTCCCCTAATGGGCCTCCTGGTGGTAATATTGATGAGAAACTAATTACACGCACAGCTGGAAGGAAATCCTGATAAAACGGTGGGTGGGAAAAAAATGACCCAAATCAGTAAAGTCGTCCTTCTCAAAGTGAGTGCAAAGTAGATGCTCTCCCAACTTGGCTTGGTTTATTATTTTGGTGCTTTATCACATGAGCATCGTTCTTCATTTGTCCTTCAGTGTACTTCTTTTGAGCCGTGGTGTGCTGTGCCATGTTTCATCTCTGCAAGTGATTCGATTTCAATTAATTAAAGCGATTGCTACAAAGAGTCGAGCTACAGAAGCAAAAGAGTAAACATGACGGTAGCTTGTTCGCTCTATCACTCCTACCAATGCAGTGCAAACTGTCTGAAGTTACAAATGAAACCAGTCTTGGTGCAAATGCGGAGGCCTGGTCCGCTTCAGATCCGAGCGCTTTCGTTGCCTTGGAAAAAAAAACGACCTGCGATGTTTTGCTGACAGACTTTGCGGAAACTTTCCTTCAAGCGGCCATCGGCGCCGTATCGCACTCAGCCTCTCGACGGGGATGAGGGATACGCACCAAGACAGGTTCCCGTCTGTCTCTACTCGACCTGCCATGACATAGCCTGCGCTGCGCCCGCCGCCCCCTTCCCCAGTCCACCCCACCTTAGAAGATAAATACCTGGAGGTGAAAGCTTGCCGCACATTCCTTTTCCCAAACATATTCTCTTGATGTCAAAGTCAGCTCCAAGGCCTCGGGGCCCACAAGTAAAGTGGTAATTCTAAGGTGCCCTGCTTGGGCTTGCTGAAATATGCATTAAAACCGTGTTGGATACACTTGGATGAGACGGGGGGAAAGTCTGTACCGAGGCAAGAACTTTATACGATTTATGCTGTGCTTAAGTATTTATTTGCAACAGCTTTCAGTGGAAACAAACGCCTGAACAACATCAGCGAATCGACCAGCATCGTGCCGTGTGTTGTCTCCCGTCCCAACCGAGGTGGACGCGAAGACACCAAAATACGGAGTAACCAAAGCATATTGTCTCATGGTGGTTTTGTTGGACACGGCTGCATTAGAAGAAACCTCAGAGGTGGATCCTGATGAGTAAAAAGAAACACTGGAGACTCAACAGCAAACTCCTACCATGACCCCGATTCCACACTGTTTTCGGAGATCTGTCAGACAATGCGAAAATCTTTGTCAACGGTGAAGTTGATTTAACTGCCAGGGAAACCTGAGGGCCTCAACATGTTCCCTTTGGAGGAACAGAAACCAGAGAGGTCCCGAGAACAGCGGGGGAGGGGACTAGAGGCCCGCCCAGAAGGCCTTCCTCTATCCCCCTCTATATTTAGAAAACTTTTCACATTGTCCCCTTTTTTGTGTGGCGTATTAGCACAAACGTAAACTTTTGCCCCATTTTGGGAATGGGGATTCTGCGTTTTTCCTGGGAGAAATGTCCTCCGGGGGGGTGGGGGGGGGGGGGGGGGGGCTGGACCGACGAGGGCCAACCAGAGGTCACCGCGTGATTGTGTCCTTGTTTACTGATGATTGCTGCAGACAAACTGCAGACAAATACGATTTCCTCAGGAGTCGTTTTCAACTTGCCGTAGCTTGCTTACTTAATATCTCATTTATGATTAACGAGGTCGGTATGGTCTGTAAAAGTCGGGAGAGAAATTCTGTGAAGAAAGCCGGTGTGACACATAACTCGCTCATTTGCTCGGGGGGGAAAAAACGTTGGTTCACTCACCTGTCATCGGGGGGGGCTTACACACACCTTAAAAACCAGCACCATTAAATTCGGGGGAATTGAAAACGGATAAAAATCAGTCTTTACATTTTCCGTCAGAATTGATGTACTCAAGGTCAACGCGTTTTGCTGCCTGCAGAAAGCTGTCGGCCAGGGGTCAGTTGGCTGGGCAAATCTTTTCTTGGGCTGTGAGCTCTTAAAGGAAGCAGCCTGAGGCCAGTGTCAGGAGTTTTCATAATCTTGTTCATCAGCAATTAGTCCCTGAACAGCGGTGAACGGGTCAACAGATAGAGAGCTAAATGAGCAGCAAAAGACGGCACACTGACTCTGGCTCATGCGTTTCTGCAACAGCTGCCAGCTGTTATCGATTATTCGGCAGATTCTTGCTGCCAATAGAAAGTCGAGGGAAACCGTGATCTTGTCTGGATAGCTAACGAGCTAACGAGCTAGCTCGTCGCTACTCTGCAGACCACTTGCTAAAGATAGTAGGAACTCTGCAACTGATAATAAAGAAATTAAAACATTGATTTTGGTGACAATTCAGTAAAAACTGAGCAGCTCAGGTCAGGAGGTTATGCCATTTTGGCGAAACAAACTATAATTTATATAGTATAATTAAACATGTAATGCTCCTTTCGTTAACATCAAACAAATGATCCACTTTTCGTATGATCTAATAAGGCTCTTTGACGTGGAAACGCAAAAAAGTGCAGAAAGGCCAAATTGTTCTTAAAATTGGCAACATGACATCCTATACAACGACACAATGGATATCGCATTTCTATGATTACCAGTTACTAAATGTCCTAATTGAGAGGACATGGAAAAGAAAGACAGGGAGAAAGCAATAAAGGCAACCAGACAGAGAGATGTAATCAGTGAACCAAGTTTGCACTTGTTGTATCCAAGAATACCTTCCTCAAAGGAAAGGGAGGGGGGGGGGGGGGCTGTGTTACACTTAATACACTCTCTGAAGCTTCAATGTAGGTTTTGCACTCTTATTACCCTAAGCCGAAGGCCTGTTAAGTGTGCGGACAGTTAATAACAAGGTGTAGTTTCCCAAGTTGTCAGCTTCTATGAAGACCTCCAGATGCATTGTGGACTTTCATCTTGAACAGAAACATCGGCTGCTTCTGCGGAGCAGGGCTGCAATTTCAATGCACACAAAGGCCAGGTGTCTGCACAGAGGGTAGTTGGAGGGATAAAGGACGGACCCCTAATGGTAGCATCTGACGCGGCAAATAAAAAAAAAAACACACAATCAAACTCAGACGTAAAATTACACTGCACCCAGGGAGGGGAATTAGTATTAGCACTTCAGAGACGTCGATTGGATAGGTAAAGGTAATGAAAACGCACTGACGCTGTGACTTCCTCATCTCCCTGTACAGGTCACTAGCGGTGGGCCACCAGTACTCGTCACTGGGCACTCAACCAATCCTCTGCGGCAGCATCCCGGGTCTGGTGCCCAAGCAGCTGCGATTCTGCCGGAACTACGTGGAAATCATGCCCAGCGTGGCCGAGGGGGTGAAGATCGGCATCCAGGAGTGCCAGCACCAGTTCAGAGGGCGGCGCTGGAACTGCACCACGCTCAACGACAACTTGGCCATTTTTGGGCCGGTGTTAGATAAAGGTAAAGACACGCAGCCATGACATCGATCTGGACTTTAAGAAAGCCATGCAGTTAACTTCATCGAAGTGCATAAGTGCTGTGTTTTTTTTTTTCACACATAGAATATGTGGGTGTATCTCAAACACAACGTTCATGTTTCAACTCACCACCAAAAGATTCCTGCCATTTTCATTTGGCACGTTTACTTGGTTCATATGGGACTAGCAGAGAAAGCTAATGACCAAATCTCCCCTTTTCCAAACCGGGTGGTGCAATCGTGCCCCATAATTCGCCCATAAACTGGTAGAATTGAAATGAAGAAAGAGGCTATCAGGAATATAGATAACAACTAAATATGAAGCGACTCTCCCATCTACGACTCCATATTATGTCTGTCGTATATTTGCGTTGGAAAAGCTGCTCTCCCTTCGTGCATCATTCATTATACTCACACAAATCCTTGTTTAAATAGACTTTGGACTGAACAAGAGCAGCCTCTGTGCATGAAATGATGCACACAAGTAAGACCTGTGAGTTCTGTCATGTTGGAGTTTTCTTTAGGAGGGAATCCCCTGTGATTGTTCTGCTTTGAACGGCCTCCCAAAGGACTAGAACTGGAATTTTTCAAAAAATGTTTTTCCCTAGATTAGATTGATGTATTGGGATTTTAAAGTAATTGTAAATTCTGGTCTACTTACGGGATCAGGCCTTAGAAACCCCCCCCCTGTGCAGCCACATTTTGTTACCTTACGGAGCCTTCTAGCGGTTCGTCCTGTTTCCAGTCATTTCTACAATATTGTGCCCCGGGAGGTTTATTTTTTGTGCTTTTCCTTTTGTTTGTCCTCTGCGTTGCTTCTCGCTAACTCTGAGATGAGTTACAAGCTTCAAAATTGAGAATGAAGGCTAAACACAGGAGTTGAGGGTCAGGGATCTTAACCTGTCACCTAGTTTACAGAAGATTGATGCAAGCACAGGGGGTTGGAGGTTAGTTGGGGCAATTGCTTTTAATAAACTCCTGAGCCAGTTGATGGAAGAGGCTTGGGCTCAAGTAGGTGGCTAACGATAGGGGTTCTCAATCCGAGCCCTTTTGTGGTGCAAAATGCTACCACATCTCTCCCCTCCCAGCCCCTTAATTGCAGGGGTACTGGGTGGAAAGAGGAGGCAGCTACCGGGCTTTAGTAAATCATTTTGATTGGATTAAGGTCACTGAGGCCCTTAATAATGTGAGAGGTCAAAGTGGCTGGATTAAGTGCCTTTGTCAGAGGCCAATGAGAGTGACTCAGGGGCTCACGGGCCTTTGATAGGGCTTAGTAGGAGAGAGCTTCCATTTCATTGGATTTGATTGATGCTGGTGTTTGTCTGTGCAACAGGGCCATTGTCCTCACTGGTGTCTGTTTGTCTGCGTTTCAGACTGTTGTGTGTCGGTTTCCTCCTGCCTTTTTGGGGGCCGAAGCTGAAAGGAAAGAGCAGGCGCCTTTATGAGCTTCGGGGGCTTAGTTCCTATCAGTTAGCCCATCACTGTCCTCCTCACCTTCACTGAGGACATGAGCGGTTTGTTTTACATAGGTGGATTAAGCAGTGGATAAATACTAGAAGAATATAAGACATGGACCCTTTAAGGAGAGGAGACAATCCTGTGAATTGAAAGTGAAGACTACAGTTCAAAAGAACAGAAGAGACATTTTTCTGCCTTTGATCACTTACTCAACCTCCTTTCAAGTCGAATGCATTAACATAATCATGACAAATGTAGTCACGTATGACTTGACCACACACAAACACTTTTCCATCTAAATGTACATTGTCACACATACCTATTCCCAACCTCACACACCAAAACGTGAAAGAGTTGCCTTTTAAAATGACCACATGCTTCTTCTACGTGGATGTCTCCCCCTTCCACATGGCCTGATTCTCTCTCTCTCTCTCTCTCTCTCTCTCTCTACGTTTGCCTCTCACTCCACACCCCAAACCACGAGCCCTGCCTGCAGGCTACGTCTGCGTCAGCACTCATTAATTTACATTAACTAAAGTGTCAAAACATGCACCGCTGGAATCCGCCTGTGATGAAGGGTGACAGAAAGCTCTGCAGGTGTTGTTAGTCCGTGGAGCCGATCCCAGAGAGAATTCCTGCATTCTTTGTGTTTACAGAACACCTACCAACTATCATGGTTGTAGCCAGTTTGTGATTCATATGATGGAATTAGGGAGGGCAACTTTTTTAGAAAAGGTGGACAGTCTCAATTTTTGCAGGTGTTACCACCCACACAGGTAGAGACATGCACCCTCGCTATTCTACTTGAAACCATTACACTCAGGTGAAGTCTTCTGTAAAGTCCTGTTACTTAATGTATAAAGCATTTGTAACGTGTTGCAAAGTTTCTCACTTTTGGAGCTCTGGCTTATCTGACCTTTTCATTCCCTGTCGGTGTCCTCGCCTGCATTCTGTATGTAACGAAATCCACAGAATAAATTGACCTAAATCATTAAGTCCCAACTAACCCTAACTGGGAAAAGGTCAGGTGATGTGGGTTACGACCTCTGACCTGAGGATGAGAAAGTGTAACTATTTAGGATGAGCTAAGAGGTCTGCGCTTCTCGTGAGACGTATGTCTCAGCATGCTGGGGGAGGGAAACCAGCACACCGGTATATCATTAACTCTGGGCAAGAAAGAAAGAAGGGGTGTGGTAAATGGAGTTGATGGGGGGACCTTAGCCCCGCTCCCCGCTGGGCACTGCTCAGAGCACAATATCTTCGCCACCATGAGATTAAGCAGGAGAGAAAGTGCTTTTCCCCATTCACACGCCCTTTAGATTGTTTTATTAAACCATTTGAATGGGGATTTCCCCGTCTGCCGACAAGCGGGGTCCGGCCAATGCATAGTTCTCTGTTGCTATGACTTAACTTGGACCCCACTAATCACTGGCCAGGGGAAATTTCATATAAAATATCGGGAGCCATTGTGGGACTAACACAGCGTGACAGTGGCAGCACAATAGGGGATTCAACCCCCCAGCAGGTTGTAGGGACCACTTGGCCTGCTGGGGTCTGGCAAGGTTCGCTGGAGGAGCATTGTCAAAGAATAGTGTCCCGGAATACCATAAATTGGTCGTAAAATCCGGAGAACCTAAGGAGCTAATGTAAGAGAGGGGTTTTCCTGTTGGGGTTAGGGTTATTATAGGTGTATATATTCCCTCGATATTCCAAAAACAACATATGTTGGCGTTTTAATACAAAGGGAAAAGGCTTCAACAGCACACCAGGTTCAAAATAGGCCTTCAAATTGGCACACGGTTCACATTGGGGTGTTGAAGTGTATATGGAGGCTCGTAAACCATCTGTGTGCTGTGTATGCACGTTGAAAGCCTCTTCAGCCGTTGGTCGGAATGAAAACAAGACACTTGGTCGACTGAAAAGGAGGTTTGCAGTGATATGAACAGTCCCCAAGAGTTTAGGAGTTTTGTGGAAAGTAGTATCATTGCTTGGCAAAGAGACTTATATGCTTAAATGCTTTATACCTTTGCATCCACGCTAGCCTTTGTTTTATGTATCTAATGATGATATCATGCCTTTTCTGGTCCACATTTCTTCACACTTTTCACTTTTCACAACAAACGAGAAACATTGCGCGAAGCGTTCAATTGAGCCATATATTTCAATGCAAATCATACAATCTTGTATGTAAAAAAATATTAGATCTTAGATCTTGCTCCTCCACTCACTTGTTGCCCTGAAGGTAAAAACATGTCCCTTAATCTGTGTCGGTTTTAGATGAGGCACATTGATATGAAATGTATCCCCATGCAGCTTCCTCAAGCTCAACATCCTACATCCCTCATCTTCCTCGACTGCAAAAACAATATTACAATATGCAAGTGAAACGATCTGTGGGGATGTCAGCGGGACGTAGCCAGGAGAGCCGGGTGTATTGTGAACATTAGTGACCTCGTAGGTATATAACAGCGGCATGAGGTGGGTGGTGGCAGCCTTGTGGTGGAGGATGCCAGTAGGTCTTTTCTCTTGCATCATTGTTCCTAATGCCCTTTAGTCCACAAACTGGTTGGAACCTGCTGTAAGGGAGGAGCTCCCGCCGCCTTTAGCTTTATACTCCTCCTTTCTTCATTTTTTTTCTTTCCCTCTGTCGTTTTAGTTTTTAAAATAAGCATGCCACCGCCACTTCGTCTGTCTCTCACGTGCACGGCAACATGCAATCACAAATGTCACTGTTTGATCCCAGACCCGCTGTCGATTTCTTTACTCTGTGTAAACTCATATTTACTCCTGGTGTTTCTATTTCATTCATCTTGTGCTCTCCATCTCTTGTGATTGTGCAAGACCAAACAAGTGGATATAATCAAGGCAAAACCCCCTATTAGTTTGAGTTCTGTTGAAGCAGGGAATGCTGGAGCGCTCAAAGGGTCTCATCTTCTCTAGTTGTGAAATGCTGTTCGGGATTGCTTTTCTGGACAATGCGGCCCCGTCTCCATGCTGTGTGAGTTATTTGTCCCTAAAGTCTGAGGCAGTTTCCTAACCTTTCAAAAGCTTAATTGAGTCCCTTAATTATAGGCCTGTCAGGCCCGTCTCTTCCTCTCATCTCTCCAGAAGATGCTGATCCCTGTGAGTCATCAGTTAGCTATGTTAGACACAGGTACAGAGGCCTTGCTGGCCTCACTCACAGACAGGATGATTGATGTCTGAACACACACCTTGGTAGATGCAACTACGTGCAGCCAACTCTACAGTTATGTGCCGTTTGTTTGATGTTATCGCGTCGGCTTGGGTTAAAAAAAGATTCGCTTGTACAATCACACAAGACCTGGGTCAGGGAGATATCCATCACAAGCAGCGACATGCATTCCCTCGCGATTACAGCCGCAGCATTTTAATTAAATTAAATTCTGAAAATAGCATTGGGAGCACATCCTCCCCGGGACAACGCGCCGCGGGATCCGGCCTTCCAAGCGTCTCATCTGAACTTCTCTCCCTCTTCCAGCCACGCGAGAGTCGGCCTTCGTTCACGCCATTGCCTCGGCGGGAGTGGCATTCGCCGTGACCCGCGCCTGCGGCGAGGGCTCAGCCACCATCTGCGGTTGTGACACGCGCCACAAGGGCCCCCCCGGCGAGGGGTGGAAGTGGGGTGGCTGCAGCGAGGACGTGGAGTTCGGCAGCAGCGTGTCCCGTGAGTTTGCCGACGCGAGGGAGAACCGCCCGGACGCGCGCTCGGCCATGAACCGCCAGAACAACGAGGCAGGAAGAATGGTGAGCGCCCTCAAAAAAGATCTTTTTTTTTTTTACTCATTGCATTGTAGCTGTTCGTCTTTTTCATCAACGCGCTTCCTTCCCCCCCTTTGCTCTTAGTCCCTCAACGACAACATGTTCCTGAAGTGTAAGTGCCACGGGTTGTCGGGCAGCTGCGAGGTCAAGACGTGCTGGTGGTCTCAGCCCGACTTCCGAGTGATTGGCGACTACATGAAGGATAAATACGACAGCGCGTCAGAGATGGTGGTGGAGAAACATAAGGAGTCCCGCGGATGGGTGGAGACCCTGAGACCCAAGTACAACTACTTCAAACCGCCCACGGATCGCGACCTGGTTTACTACGAAAGCTCCCCCAATTTCTGTGACCCCAACCCTGTGACCGGCTCCTTTGGAACCCGCGATCGCGTCTGCAACCTGACCTCCCACGGCATAGACGGGTGTGACCTCCTCTGTTGCGGCCGGGGACACAACACCAGGACTGAGAAGAGAAAGGAGAAGTGCCACTGCATTTTCCACTGGTGCTGCTACGTCAGCTGTCAGGAATGTGTGAGAGACTACGACGTGCACACCTGCAAATGAGGACATACGGCCCCTCGCCTTTTTCCCGCAAAATGTTAAGACTTGATTCGGCAGCAGAACGAATACAGCAGCTCGTCTCCAAGACGCGAGAGACTGCAAAGGTGGCCTGACCTGTCGGTGGACTCCAGTGGCAGACTTGATGGCCTTTGTGTTTGGTGCTGCAATGATAAAAAAGAGCCCCGTCTCTGCTTTGATCAAGGCAGCAGGTGTTGACATCACAAAGCCGAATCCACACGAACCACACATATGGTAATGATGACAACAGTGTTGATCTCTCTGGCGATGACGAAAGATTTTTTTTTTTTCTGTAGGAAAGTACTGTCGGCTAATTGTCAAACGCCATATTGGTGATTTCTTTTTGTTTTGTTTTGTTTTTTGTGTTTTAAGTAGTAAGTTTTTTTCTGTTGAGAATAGTCCAGCACTGCCGATGCAGAAAAAGTCACGACATTTATGAGCAATTTACAAGATCAGACACTCAACAGCATGCATTCTCATCCTCAATGTTTTAAGTATGTTTGTGTATACCTGGAAAACTAACATTGCTGCGTGAATGAGGTTCTTTATGTTGCTATTGTGTACTTTTGTTTGGGTAAGAATGCACTTGCACCTGAGTGAATGTAGTTATTATGCTGCAATGTGTTTACAATTCCTAGCGAGTTAATATCGGCTTTAAATAACTCATTTTAGCTCGAGAGTAGACACGAGCCACATCAACTCAACATCGGCAAAACAAAAATACACACAGTCTGCACATTTCTTGAAAAAGCGAGAGTAACAATGCTTTGAACAACATCGAAGTGACGACCAAAGACCAGAAATGAAAGCCCCTCCTCTAAGTGGGCGGTGCTTACAGAGCTGCAGATGACTCTAAAAGGTCAGCACTTGTGTCCCGTTGAGAAATATGAGGCATGTTCTCCTTGTTCTTATCAGTATTACTAATGTCTCATGTGACTGGGTGTGGGGAAAACCGTTATTTATAAAAGGGATATTCACACTATATTTTTGTTTCAATTAAACAAACTCCTCTATTACGATATTCAAGCTCAATTCTGTTCAACGTCGTAAAATGCAAAATAACAAATGGTTAAAGAGCTGTACTACATCAGCTCTGAATAACGCGGTGTAATTCCCAGTTGTGATTAAATGTTGACCAAAACTTGTGCAGGAGACGATTCTCAGCTGTGGCCTCTGGTTCCCCAAACTAAACAAAAAGCAGCATCACTGAAACTATTGATACTTCCCTTATTTTAACGCTGCTAAGTAAATATAATATTTGTGTGTTTGTGTAAGTTTGCGGCTTTAGGTCCTTTCATTCGGTACGATTTTGTCCACTTGTGTTCTTCTATGTATATTCTTGCATGAATTGATTCTTTCTGTGAAAGAAATTGCTTATATGTAGTTTGAAAAAAAAATGTGAAGTTTTGACTAATTCTTGCATAGCGTAAATCCCATTTTAACCAAATAGACCAAAATAGAGTTTATGTTATTTTTAGTTTCCTGTCGTTTTGTAGTCATGCTAAACATCGGGGCAAAATTATTAATGTTGCCCTCTCTTAATTTGAGTAAAAGTTCAACACTGTGTTTATTTATCTGGAAAGTGAAAAACTGCTGAAATCTGAGAAAATGTCACAAAATGTTGATGAAAAGGTGAATGGGCCTTTTCCCTGAGTTGCCCTGACGATAAAGAGTGTGTAAAGTCACTGAGGAATTGTTGTTTACAGCCAATGTAATGTCTCAGGCATCTATAGTGGGACTAAAGTCATTTCTCGCCCGTAATCCCCTTTCAACCTGACGGCAAACATCAACGAGCAGCCATGACCAGTTTCTTAAGTCATCTTCAATAAATCACACAGCAACCATTACAACAACTTTTAACTTGCATTTATTACGGTTCACTTTATGTGTGATTGACTGTTTTTGTGGACGATTTGCTTACGTTCTAATTTTTTGTTACGTCTTAAATCCAAAGTTTTGTACAAATTAGTTTTTGTGTTTTTATAGATTTCTAAAATTGGATGTTTTTTTATAATTATTTATTTCCTGCTATGTACATATTAGTGAGTAAAAGTATATATTTGCAGAAACACATTTTTTTAAACAGTGTTGTGAATTGTAACGCTGTAGCATTTTTACCTCATCTGTTTTTTCACTGACTGCACACAGGTATCGTTTGTCTCACAGCCTGTAGTAGATTTATCAAGTTAACTCTGTAACACCAAAATAAAGCAACATAAACAACCGAAGGTGTTCTATCGTCTATGACTGTACTTACCGTTCGATAAATTATTTTCCGCATTTTCTCTGAATCCCGAGTGACAAAAAAAAAAGCACCAGGGCACCAAAACCACATGAATATGAAAGTAGCACATCGATCTGTCATGCAATACGGTGTAAACTTTTATGTATCAAACATTTTCTTCAAAATAGGCCTTCAGATCAAACTAGTACTTATAAAAACAGAAGAATGAACAGCGCTCTTGTGACGGGTCAAACAAAGTTAGAACTCTTTGCGGTGACAATCCTGCAGGTGAGCCCACAGCTAGCACAGAAGAATCACAGCCGGTCATTAGGAATAATAGATTCAGGCCGAACACGGGCTACGGATATCGGCATAGGAAGAAAAAAAGATAATAAAGCTGGCGTGATAATTAGATTTTTCTGATAGACTGCAGAGGCCAGCCGTGCTTTTTTAAAGAAACAATAATACCACAGAAAAAAAATGTCAGCGATGCGAGTTAAGAAATAGGTGGAGCTTTGTTCGAGAGAAAGACCCGATCTCAAGATAGATTAGGGGCGTGATGTGAATAGAGCCCACCGGTGCTACGGCTGAGCCGCCGGACCCCCGATAGTCTTTGAGCCCGTTCAACAATGTCACCACCAGAGGCCGGGTCTCACTGCTATCTAACCCCATTATCTCGCAGAAAGATTGATACACACCCCCTCCGGGGTGGAAGCACCGGAAAAAAAAAGTGATACCCTTCCGTTCTCATTCATGTGGATTCAATGGCGTGCCCACCCCCACATCGACTATATTTTAAGCCGTCTTTCACAGTTTGTCCTACCGAAAACTCATTACTCGGGTGCACTCATTCTCCCGGACGTTGGTAAAAATGCTATGGCATTTAAATCCCGCCTCATGATGGGAAACGAATAAAGGCTCATTGAACACCCCGTTGTATATGAACTCCTGGGAGCCGGCCAGGTTCAGGTTTGGTTTTAGTGACCGGGGAGGCTGTCGGCGGCTCATTCCACACCTCGACCTTTGACACTTCTCACACCATTTGAATGGGAGTAAACAAGTGCAAAACATGAAACAGATCACAGGACGAACAGAAGCTCCGGCCCTCCAGCGACGCTGTCTTTCGGCAGAAGGAAATAGGCCCTTCCCTTCAGAGCAGACCCACCTAGCAGCTTTGTCACCAACGTGAGAGGAACCTTGTTAGCAGATAGTTGCCACAGGCGGCTGCGGTGGCCCCAGTGAGTGAGGTGGCACCCTGACTGTGAGAACTTTGACGCCACCAGACTGCAAGAGGCACCGCCTAATAACCATATAAATGGGAGACAATGGGCCTAATTGCAATCAGTCGCCTCTTTTTTTTTTTTTTTACGTCCCGAGTTTCACCCTGACATTCTCGAGACGCCGCCCCGTGCATTTCAATAAAGCCGCGTTGTCGTGGGGCAGAAGTAAGGGACATATACAGTGCAGCGGCGCTCAGGCCCACGCACTCAAATGACACCATGCAAATACTCCCGCGGGCGTCACACCTCGGCTGCAGGCTTTCTGTTTCACTCTTTCTGAGGACCTTTTGATGTTGTGAACAGAAAACCAAGGCAAAGCAGCCGGGGATTCCACGATGCGTTTAATCCGAGGTTGTGTCTGTGCACAGATGATTTAAAAGTTTTTGTCAAAAGGTGGATGTATCAGACAGACTCAGCTGCTTTAATACAGTACAGCTCGGAGTGTAACCTTCAAGAATGTGATTCACAAAGCTGTTCTTGTTTAAAGCCTCACACACACTAAAGGTGATGGGCCAAAACTGAACTACAGAGGAGAAGTGCAGCGTGTGGGCATTTCATTATGGAACCGACTTTGAAGACAATCTTTTGAAGTCTGTCTGTGCTTCTGGTTAGGGTTCAGGGTTGTGATTAAAATATTGCAAAATACCCTCAAAAATGGCTTTATTTTGTCTTTTTTATATGGCTTGTAAGTGATATTTCTCACTTTTACTTTCTGAATAAATAGCTCCTGACAGCACTCACACCTTTATCCAACACGTCGGCCGCTGAATTCTAACTTAAGATCCACAAATGTGTTGTTTATCACACAATGTGAATCACTTTTTCGCCACTTCTGAATAAACGTTAGAGATACAGTAAACAGATAAAATACTCTTCCACAGATCGCTCTCTGCACACCAAGCCAACCATTCTCTGATGGCTGAGTGGAAAACCTCTTAACATCTGCAGGAATCATGGCATTACATTTTCTCTTTTACAGCCGGGGAGGGTAACGTGTGAAGTACGTCACCTGTCATGAATGAGGATGATTGGTTGACTGCAGGGTTTCTAAAGAGGGTGGCGATCATCAGAAGAGACGTGGCACCTGTAAAGCAGCCTTATCCCCTTTTGAAGTGTCTGTTTGTATTGTTGAAACCAACAAAGGAATTTTGCCACCCCTGTACTTACACCAGGAACATTAGTCAAACTGGAGGAGATAACAAGGGGGAGGGGGCGGGGGGGGAGGAGGTGATAAGGGAGACAAACTACTGAGCTACACAGTCTGCACAGTGCGTTTGCACGTGCACGTGTGCACATCTCATCAGCACGCTGGCTGCTCAGACGCAGAGTTTTTGTCCTCAGGTATGTCGCTGTATGATGTGGTCTGCTGGTGCTGGTGGTGCTGCTTTGCAAGCCTGAAGGTTGACAAGGGGTCATCCTGCAGATCAATGGAGGCCCGAGTTGTAGTGGGGAGGAGGAGGCAGACGTGATCACTCATTAGTCACCTCTTCACCTCTTCGCAGCTCCAAGCGGTTCAGCAGGTAGGATGAGCATTTATGAGCTTCCAGAAGCAGTTTCCATCATTTTTACTAATACCGATTCTCACTGTCTGTCATCTCCCCGGTGGGGTCCCACTTCATATTTATAGTACTCCTGCAGGTTTGAAACAATTCAAATAACCGTGGTATTTACAGCTCTGATATTTTGTCAATATTTTACAGTAGGTTCTGGCCTGACATCAAATATGGATTTGAACTATTGGAGCCGGCACACAGTCAGCCTCAGTTAACTGGCAACGTTAATGAATGTCACTGAAATCATCATTTTATAACAAAACCTTCAAAGAAAACATGAAAGTGGAGGAAAATTAGATCTGACCATATGTTTTTCACGTCAACACAAACATTGATTTCATAAATATTACTGTCTTACAGTTTTATTTTTTATTTATCACAGTCTTTTTTAGTTGATGCATCTAATAACTTATTCTTACGATTATTGTGCAGCGTATTCCTTTATTCAGCTTCTCTTATTATATTTCAATCCATCTTTCCATACCAGCAGAAACACACACCCGTAACCCGTCATCACACAAACAAATGGACATTTGTCCATTTGTTTGTGTGCAAATGTGCAAATCACACATCACACGGTAAATGCTTTGATAAAATCTTACCGTAATCTCTGTATTGACAGACTTGTGTTTGTTTGCATATGCTTTTTTGGGGGGAGGAAGTTCCATTCTTAGTGGTTGGAAAATCATCCCCTTAGTGTGGGTGGATGGGAAGATCTGATGCGCGCACAGATTCATCGGCATTGTTGCGGACATGTCCTGAGTGAGAGAGATCGGGTGTATCAATTACAAGGTGACTAGCGGGGGAGAGGAGCGGGGTTATCATTAGCAGGGACTGGCGCTGGCCTCTGGTAGTTCCAGTAATTACCTCACAAAGGGTGGTGCTTGCCTTCCCACTGCTTTTCCCACACTGCACTCCAGGCTCAGAATTCCAATCGGCCCCAGACCTGCAATCTCCACGGTTTTAGACAGCAAATTACTGACAAGTCCCATTCTTCACAACACTGTAATTGCTTTTTAGTGCTGCTTTTATTGAGGCAACCCCAACCCCCTTGCCCTTCCCCAAATAAAGCTCAGTCAGGGATGGGGCGAAGGGTTAATACAGATAACATTAGTACCTAATTGGAAGGTCTTGGTCCGCAGGAAACTTTCATTGAAGTCCTGTTTTTTTTTTGTTTTTTTTAATCTTTTGCAGCGTTTGAATAAATATAAGTTTGTTCCTTTGGTAAATGTATCTGTTAGTGATCAAGAGCGACATGTTTGCTTCTAAATTTATTCCTCAATAGATTCGTATTCGTTACGAAGGTGGATGCAAACTCTGCAATGCCGCTTCTGCGTGCGTCTGCTCCACAGAAATGATGTCATAAAGGCTCTTCACATCGCATATAAAGAGAGGCACTGAGTATCTTGGCTACTCTTCAAATTAAATCACTTTGTGTTGTCTTTCCCACCCCAGCGCATTACGCTCCCAATCTATTACTTTGGGGAAATCATTAGTCTCCATGTCAATACAAGCTCGAAGCAGAGAAAACATCTCATTATGGGACTTAAAGAGACCCGTAGCTTTCTCGGCTCTGTCAAGCTGTTCCTCCTTTCTTCAATATAGTTACTTTCCTTTCACTCACAGGACAAATTCTCAACGTTCCAACGCCGGACAACCCAACAGTCGCCATTTGAAATGAGAAAAGGGGAAAGAATGGAAAATGGCCGAGGGATTAGAGGATCTAAACCGGATAAAGGGTTAGGAGATTCTTGGTGTGATCCAGTTTAGTTTGAAAGATGGAGGGTCTTAACAAGGATTTGAGACCTTAGAATTCATTGTGCCATTATTTCCATCCTGTGCAGCTTCACTTAAATTGTTTGCCGTTTTGTGGTTCTTAAAATCTCATGGTTCTCCTTTTACTGCAGCTATAATATTTAAAATGATTCTGACATAATGTCCTAATTATCTCTTTATTTGGATCCTCAACCATTTTCTCTGTTTGTTTCCCGCGTTTACTTTTAATGTTGATACGTAATAAAATGTGTTTTTCACACACGCAAATACAAAATGCAGAGATAGTGTGGTTTGAATGCTAAAAAGTGATAATACACTTTTGCTGCTTTCGGTCCACGCATCAAACGGGACTACATCCGGCCTTTATTGGCGGATCTACAAAGTGCCCTTGG